GTAACGGCCGCGGGGCGGCGGCGCCGGAGAGGGAGGGGGGATGGCGAGAGGTGAGAGGGGCGGCCGGTAACGGGAAACCGCCGGGCCTCGGTTTCCCCCTTGGGAAAGGGAGGGGGCGTGGAGGGGGGAGGTTCCCGGTCGCTAAGGCCCTTCCTTATTTTATATTATCGCGGCGGGAAGAGCTTAGAAATGTCATCGCTTCGATGCTGTGGTTAAGAGGAAGGGTAGCCCTGCTGCGTTTTTTTTTTTTTTTTAGTTTCTCCTTTTTTTGAGGCATCTCTAACAGCAAGAAAATGTCGGTTTGTTTAGCACAGGAGTAAGCAGGCATGAAGCGGTAAGGAAGATAGGGTTAAACATTAGGAGCAGATGTGGTTGCGCAAACTAGAAAAGAGCACACCTCGTTGGATGTCAGGACAGCTTGTGGGGGTCTATTTATTTATTTACTTAGGTTTTACAGGAAAATGTCACTGCACGTGTGAGTAGTTTTGCTGGCCATCTGCCCAACAAGCTGTTGAATTTCAACCTTTCTCTTGTTGCTGTCTCTTGTAGGCTGAGTGCTTAGTGGTGTAGGGACATAAGACCCTGCCCCAAGAATGAACCACTTGAATCTTTCATACCAAACAGCTACCCTCCCCCTCGCAAAAACACCAAGTGAATGTGTTTTTCAGATTTGGGCACAACATAAATGCTTTAAAAAAGAAATAAAATTCCTGTTATACTGATGACAGCCAGCTTAGAAATTTAACAGAGACTATGAGACAAAGGCCAAATTCCCAGGGAAATCAAACTTTCTGCTTCATGGAAACCTCTTCTTACAGGCATAGAGACTATTAGAAGACAGACTGTTGCTACTAATAGGATTTCTTCCAGTGTAAGTAACTGTTATGTCAAATACATCCACATTCGTCAACACTGTCTTTGTATACTGAAAAGTGTGAAGGTTCTCAGATGTTCCATGGCTAAATGCTTGGGTGAAAAAAAAAACCAACAAAAAGTCCTGACAATTTTGGAATACACAATGACAGGATTGAAATGTGATGATGGGAATCTGTACAAGATGGGTATGCCTTGCTTAGCAATGCTTGTAACCTCCAACTTTCACAAATGCTACTATGCCTACTTCTTCCAGACACTAGACTGGTGCAGGAGCTCTGCTCGAAAAACCTAGAGCAAGTAACAGTGCCAGAATTCCTGCTTTGAACAAATTAGTATGAGAATATGGCAAGAAACCGTACAGTGCATGTAATAGTGTAACCAGTGGCCAACTGAGATTTACTCTGCAACACCATAGTTCCGTACAGACTGCCCCCAAATTAATCTAAAATCTAAGCCACATGAAATAATATAAATATAATTGGTATGTGAAATATAAAAATAAATTTCGTATATACTTTTTCTTCAGGCTACATGATATGTTACAATTATTTGATAAATTATCTCACTTCTAGGAAAAACAGCAGATGCTTTTGATCTTTCTGAGGTGCACAAAGTATGATGGGAGCATGATGCAATACTTGGTTATAGTTGCCTGGGCTTCTAAGCATGTAAGATCACTGTTTTATGAAAATGAGCTGAGTTAGTAGACTGTGTACTAAATAGCTATGTAAATTATACAGTAACAGTCTGTAATATAAAATTATAGAAACTTTTTTCACATTTACGAAGAGCATTTATAAATGATTTAATTATTGCCAAGAGCTGTTAGACACAAAAAATACACAAACCGTTTCTCCTACTTGAAAAATGAAATTATACATTTCACATGTTCTGAGATAGTCTTTGACTCCCAGTATTTTTGTGTACTCTTAACTATAAAGAAAAAAAAAACTGAAGACATATGTCCAATAAAGCAGGATAAAACCTCACATTTTTGAGGAACTGTCAAGTATATTACTCATATAGCTATAAAGTAAATAAGGTTAAAAATACACAAATTAAGTGGCAGATAGTGTAATAATACAGCTGAAGTGCACTTAGGTCTGTAATTTTAGGGTGATAGTTTCATTTATGCGAGTGGGAACTACCTAGCAACCAAGACTTTAAGATACTTAAAAGAGAGGTTTCCATCCAAATCTCGATGTGTGTTAGTGCCAGCTAAGGAGCTGTTACTGACACCACCCGCCGCGGCCGCCGCTCAGCGTTACCAGTGCAGCGTTTTCCGTGGGGACATTGAAGTTATGCCCATTATTTTCCCCGGGGACAGGGTCGGGGGCCGC